CCCATAGATGCACCACTGTGTATAAACATCAAATTTTGATAATACAACTTAAAATTACGGTAAAGATATAAAAAAAAAAGTTGATAATACAACTTAAAATTACGGTAAAGATGTATAAAAAAGTAAGTCATAACAATAATAATCAATTTTACTTCAGTATAATGCTTTTAGAGCAATCCCAGGAAGAGATATTGTCATTTGAGTACTGAGCTAGAATGCGTTCTGTGTTTCTATAACTGAGATCTGTGTATACCATGTTGTATGCGTTTGTACTGTGACTACTCCCTCCAATTACTTCGTAATTGACGCCTGTTTCTACCATGATTTTGTGCATTCAATATTTCACTTCTTGAACCGCATATGTGTGTTTAGTACCCATTTGCTCTTTTTATTTCTTCTTCTATCGGATACCCTGCTTCAGTTCTCCCTCCTACATTAATGCCTTCTCCCTGTGCCTGGTTTTCATTGGTTATTTCTTTTCTCTCTTCCATTATCTATCGTGTTGGTTTGTTGTGTTTTCAGTTTTTATGTACTGTAATGTATAGGAAGAGATGATAAATAAGCAATCAACCTACAATTAGGGCCTATAATCATAAAGTCACCTATGGTGAGATGAGGGATAATGAATAGGCGGCCGAGTTGATTAGGTATCAAATTAGAATTAAATCAACGCCAGTATTGGCCAAGTTTTGTTTGTTTGTTTGTTTTTTTTTTTTTTGTTTTTTTTTTGTCAATGTGAGCTGAAAGTACCAGTAACTGTCGCAGCCACTACAACGCTTCCTTTTATAACCCAGTTTTCGCTTCACAGCCCTTCCACCACTCACAGTCCTTCAATATTACTGTTGGAACACTTTCCATAAAAATTTCTTCCCACCCTTGTTGAACCCACAAATGTGAAAACGCGAACAAATGTAATAAAAACCACAAATGTAACAACACAGAAAGAAATTCAATTCTTGGGCATTATGTTAAATGAACGTATTATTAACTGTAAAATTTATATTAACTTTGTTGCAAGAAAAATCTCAAAATCGACAGGAGTAATTTGCAGAGTCAATCAGTTCTTTTCCTACGAATATTTTACTCGCTCTTTACAATACCTTAATTTTGCCGCCTTAACTCCTCTAGTATGGAAATATCATATGAGGAAGTGACAATCCTACTAACTTTGTTGAACTATATAACCTCCAAAAACGTATTATTTGTATCATTACATCACCACCATATATGTACAATGCTGAGCCACTCTTCCATCAACATAATCTTCTGAATATTTACGACATAAATTAATAAGGTACAAGTAGGATGTATTATGTATAGACATATCCATGAACTGTTACCAAATGTGTTTAATTATCTATTTCAATACCGAGTTAGTGTTCATAACTATCGGACAAGAAAATGTAATAGGCTTCGTATTTCGTTTGTTAGGCTGACATAAAGCCACAGCATGTATAGAACGATATTAATAGTAAACTAAAAACATCAAATACTCTTATGACTTCAGAAAACTCCTAAAAAAGTTATTTCACATTATCAATAGGTACTCTAATGAT